GGATGGGTCCATCAATGGCTATTAGCCAAGATGATCAAGGATGCAGTCCTATGCTCTGGGTGTCCTCTAACTGCCAGAAGCTGGGACTGGATGACAGGGGATGGATCACTTGATAATTGTTCTGTTCATTCCCTCTGAAGCATCTGGAAGACAGGATACTGGGCTAGATGGACCATTGGTCTGACCCAGTATGGCCATTCTTATAATTGTTTCCTATAATCTTATCTGTATAAAATTTGTAAAATAATTCTCATAAAAGAGATTATTTTATATTCTTTGGGCCTTTTAAATACTTCCTTCGTATGCCAGTTTTCTCTTCATTTTCCTCAGTAATAGTTATTTGGAAAATAACATTTTTAAAGGCGTTTTTAAAGAACCCTAGCCTGCTGCTTCTTCAGACCAGTATAATTTCAGTGGAATAATTGGGTTTCTTATGTCCAGTCTGTGAATAAACTATTTCCTTTGCTGATGATGAGATCCATGGTTCTAACAGACTTAACATCCTATTCATGGAACTATCACACAATGTTATCATTGTCTCATTAACAGCATAAATGAGATATGAATGCATCTATTTTGCATATGAGTAATCATTACCTTTTGAAGACTTGCTGGGCAAAGTGAACATAAGAACATAAGAAAGGCCGTACCGGGTCAGACCAAAGGTCCATCTTAAAACATGACTAGTACCATTGTTATATGTTAAACTTGTGGCCGTCTTTGTGGAGAAGTGCTGGATTAACTAGACACGAGACTCTGCTTCAGTTTAAAATTGAGACCATTGGCATAGCTATCACTGATCTGTGGATAAATAAAGGGTTTCAGTTTCCAGGGCTGTCCATCTGGCAACTTTCGGAATTGATATATCGACACACAGAAAAATGGAAAGCTCATTTTAAAAGCTTTGTTTTGTTGGGTTCACAAAACAACTTTAATTTTTATGTAGGCCAAAAAACATGAAACCAGAAAAAAATCAGTTTTATAGATGAAAATGAACTGACCTTAAAGCAGATATATGGTAGTATATTATACATCTAGAGTGTATGTATTATAGCAGGTGTGGGCAAACTACAGCCTGTGGGCTGGATCCGGCCCACCAGCCATTTTAAGATGGCCCTCGAGCTCTCACCAGGGAGCGGGATCTGGGGCATGCCACGCTCTAGCCGGGGAGCAGGGTCGGGAGCCGCTCCACGTGGCTCCCGGAAGCAGCAGCATGGCTCCCTTCCAGCGCCTACGTGTAGGGGCAGCCAGGGGGTTCCGCTCTGCATGCCGCTCCCGCAGCTCCCATTGGCTGGGAACCACGGCCAATGGGAGCTGCAGGGGAGGTGCCTGCAGATGGGGCAGCGTGCAGAGCTGCCTGGCCGTGCCTCCGTGTAGGATCTGGAGAAGGAACATGCCGCTGTTTGAGGCAAGCGCTGCCTGGAGCCCAAACCCATCATCCGCAGCCCCATGCCAGAGCATGCCCCCCCAGCTGGAGCCTGCACCCCTTCCCGTACCCCAGCCCTCTGCCCCAGCCCTGATCCCCCTCCTGCCCTTTGAACCCCTTGGTCCCAGCCCAGAGCACTCTCCTATACCCCAAACTCCTCATCCCCAGCCCCACCCCAGAGCCCACACCCCCAGCCAGAGCCCCCACACCCCACTCTCCTGCCACAGCCCAGAGCCCCCTCCTGCACCGTGAACTCCTCATTTTTGGCCCCACCCCAGAGCCCGCATCCCCAACTAGAGCCCTCACCCCCTCCTGCACCCCAACCCCAATTTTGTGAACATTCCTGGCCCACTATACAATTTCTATTCCCAGATGTGGCCCTCAGGCCAAAAAGTTTGCCCACCACTGTATTATAGGCAGGATTGCTTGCGCTATCTATAATTGAAGTTGCTCAACACTTCTGTAACAGGTCTTGTCGGGCTCAGCCTTGCCTGCGGCCCATCAGACTGTTATCAGGGGAGTCCTGCCTCTGGATCCCCCGGTGTTTTAAGCCTCTGGTGTCTGAACAGTGCCCAGGCACTATCCTGGACTTGGGGTCCATAGGAAGACTCTTGGAACACGGACCTGTTGTGTAACAATTCCTCCTGAGAGCCGCGACCATGTGGCTCAGCTGCCTAGTCCCTAAGCATGGTGATGACTCTTCAGACTCCCACTATAGCTTAAACATACCCTCTTCCAGAATCCCACTGAAGGTGTGAGCCTTTTGGGTCACAGTTTAACTCTCTCAAGGGCTACATGGTAGTTGTAGCATGGAACATACACACTTTGCACAGAGTTCTACAACGCTGTTGCTCTTTACTTAATCACACAAGAAACACACAGATCTGTATGAAAATTGTAAATCATATATGGATTTTCCCCTCTTCAGTTCACCCTTCCCTTGAAAGTCCTGGGAGAACCATCTGTGTTCTGGTAGGTGGGTCTAACTCACTGGTCAGCCTCAACAGGTGACCATAGAATCCTACCACATGACTTTGTGACCTCTCTCCCGATAAACCAGTTCTTCTGGTTGAGAGCCAGTCTTTTGTCTAGTGCTATTGCATATCATTGGTTGGGCACTTAAGTCAACGGCCCTCTTTTGAAATTTCAGTCTAACAGGACGCTGAAGCTCACAGTGAATGCAGCTAGCCTCCACATTCAAAATGGAGTTTGCAGCTTGATAAAGATACATACGGAGAATTCACTGAATTAATAAGTTGTATAGGCAGATTTCCAAAATCATCACAGCTTCTCATTACAAGAACCTTATAGTTTTGTCAAGCCTTATAGCTTTGCCAAACTTTAACCATTTGGGCTGAAATTTTCCATTCCAGGTGTTTGCTTCTGGCTGAAATTCAGGTGTTTCTGAGAATGAGGCTAGGGAAAAATACATTGTTTGACCATGTTAAAAATGTCTAGTAACCTTTTATTTGAGAAGTTCTAGCACTCCTGGGCTTTGGCACAGGGACTTGAAATTTGGCAGTGGGGTGGCCTTTTGCTCTCTCTGTGAAAGTCTGCCCAAATTTGGTCAAGATAACTGCAATTTTTCAAAAGCTTCCTGCACATGCTTGGTAGAGACTTGATAGATCTTCTCAGCTAAATACCCTAAAAATTCCAACTTCAGTGGGCATGTTTGAGCCCGGGGCTGCGGGGGGCTGAGCAGGACTTTCCCTACAATTGCAGCTCTGTGCTGTTGTGGGCCAAGCACAGGAACTGATAACAGGGAGCCTGTCTCTCCTGTGCTCTCAGTGAACCACCTGCTGGTGCCTAGAGAGTGAGGAGGAGGCTGTGCAGAGGAGTATGGTTGTTGTATAGTCAACTCTGGCAAACGGCAGAGCATTGGAAATATGCACAAATCTTGGGAATGCTGTGTGTTTTGTGGCTATTATCCCATGTCATTTCGGATATGAGGGAGGTAATTCCTCTCTCCTTCTGATGGAATAATTAGCAGGAGCTCCAACAGTGGGAATTTGCAGCGATTCTAGTCCCTTACTTGACCTTCATGGGAAGGGAGGTATCTAAAGGGAGGAAGAGTGAATCTACATGAAGTGATTGATCTGTCTTAGTATTTCATAGTGGCTCCTCACAATGGTATCTGAGTGCCTGGTCCTTTTTGTAGGAATTACTTTACTCCCCTCTTACCTCATCTTGCCTCTCCTCCCCCCCATTGAAAAGGAGCCAACTTTTTGGTGAAATGCAGCATAGTTCAAGTACTGGAGTAATAGTTACTTTTATACATACCCTCCATCACCATAGTTTCAGGTCTTAGATACATTGTACAAAGCTTTAGGACAGGAATGAATAATACGATTTTCAAATGAAACTATGGTGATGAATTGAAAATAGGCAGAACGTACCATTTTCCTGTATCTAGCACATCAGATACTTCCTGTTCTCGTCATGCCTTTTATAGACTAAAGTCGTCAGATGTTAGTAAAGCACAGTTCCTTTTTCCTAGTTATGCAGTAGAATTGGAGATTGTGGGCAAATCTCCCAATCCCCATAGTGACAGCAGAACATTATCTAATTAGTAGTTTGCTTTTTGGCATTTCTGTGAATAAATTAGCATTTCAGTTGATACCCTGGGCTACTGGGAAAAAGTTTCCCAGAGTAGTGTTTAGCCTCATTTCTTTTTCTCTAAAGACTGTATTTCCAGTTTTGTGTAGATTGATATTCCTTCTTAGTCAAAAAGATACATGCACTAGTTATGGATCTTAATGTAGGCTTTTTTAATCCTTAAGAATCAGAGTTAAATTTGTTTACATGTTTCTTTCCAGTAAACTGAGCCTTCTGTATGTGCCATGCTATTTAAATGTCTCCTTCCCAGAAGAACTTAGAGAGATAACTGTGAATAGCTCATGTAAAAGCAATGTTGTTGTTGTTGTTGGGTTTTTTTCCAAAGAAAAATCTAAACAGAAGTGAACAGATTTTCCAAATCCTAGATTTGGTAGTAGCACAATGATTGTAGACAGATTGTGATCTCAGTTACTCTGGCATAAATCAAAAGATACCTTTGGTCTCCTGATCCAAGCAATAACCTAAAATAATCTTTAATCTGAGCATTAGAAATCTTTCCTTGAATCTCCTCCTGAGTCAATGACATGGAATTCGCTGGAGGGCTGAAGTGTGTGTATGTCTATATCTATCTATCTGTGTGTGTGTGTGTCTAACAAACCTTTGGCTGCCTATGCCAGCTGGGGCTGAGAGCACTGAAGGAGGAGTGTGCTTAGTCTTGGGTGGAGTTTGAGGGCTTAATAACTCAAATGGCTCCTTTAGAAAATTAAGAACTAGTATTGGTCCCCAAATAAGAGAGTGCTGTCTTAGCCTCCTTTGCTAGAAGAATAGTGAGTGCAATGTGGACCTCAGGACTTGGTGGAAAAGTGAAAATGGTGGAGAACAGGTGCTTCAACAGGAACATGTGCTGTAAGATTTCCCTTTTTCTGCTGCAAAAAACATTGGCATATCCAAAAGAAGGGCAGTGTTTTATAATTTATTAATACAAATAATTACACTATTTTGATTTTTTTTCTTACAGCTTGATGACTGTACACTGCAACTGTCCCATAATGGTACCTATCTGGATTTAGAATCCACCTTAGTGGAGCAAAGGGATGAATTGGAAGGTTTCCAGGAAGATGCTGGGTACGTAAAATATTTATCAGATTTAAATGAAAGACGTATTTATCAGGACACATTGAAATGATGGAGATGTGGGCACTTAAACTGCTACTTTGAGACTCAAATAAGAAAGGAGAAAAGCATAACCTTCATATCTTTACTCACAAGCAGTTCCATTCAATTCCCTTTCGAGAAGCAAAAGGTTTTTTTATTCTTTTTTCACTTTTGTGTCTTTTTCAGAACAAAGACTGCTTAGTGTATGAAATCTTCTAGGCTGGATCTTTTTTCCAACAGTCCTATATAATTTTTGTAGCTTACCCTGATTGGTATCTAGTTCTAAGAAGTAGAATTCAGCAGTATTTGTGCTTCCTCTGCAACCTCACCAAGAACCTCGATATACCCTGACTGTTACTGTATACCTGCTACCAATTCTCGGCCAAATGATGGTCTTTGAGATGTAGACTTCAGTGACCTGGTTTTGATGAATATAGGCCTGATCCAGAGCCCATTGAACTCAATGGGAAGACTCCCATTATGAAAATTTTTGAGAGAGAGTGTGTCTCTCTCTTACAAAACACTGCTCAATGGGGCACATTGAGTGTAATATCATAATATAGCTCCTAATAAACTGATTATTTCTGATAACAATTGATACTGGAGCAAAGAAACTTACTGATCATCACATACATTTATCAGTAAATAAATGAGTAGAGTTTGGTGTCTACCTGATTTCTGATGGACCTTCGGGTGATTGCTTATGACAGTCATCTTTATTTTTATTCAAGTTATAAAATGTACAATTTAAAACCATTTTGTCACCCTCCGTTGCATTTTTGTACTCCCAGTTGCTTTACTGGGGTTGCATGTTTGTAACTAAGGGCAGGCTTAGACCCTTAACGTTTTATGTATAGGCTTCACATATATCCCTAGACTGGCAGTACCAAAAGGGCACAAATTAGGGTTGCCATTGGTTAAGTTTTGTTGCCAGTGACAAATTTGGCTCTTTGATTAGTTTATTCATTTTTTTTATTTTTCTTCCTGTCCATTCTTTAATGTTATACAAAGGATTATGGATATCGTCTTTCTGTAGTTTAATATTTTTTTACTAATCTAAATTGTATCTTCATTGACTACAATATGGTGAAACCAAAGGACTGACATAATGGATGTGGCCTTCTAATAAATGTGGAACAGAATTTTAATCAGTACATTTGGGGATATTTTATGGTGGTTTCTTAAGAAAGGACATTGTCTATAAATGGTGGTCTCCTTAACCGAAAAAGATTTTACATATGTACGCAAAAACTGCTATGTATGAAAAAGATAGGATAGTTATTTGGCAGGTAAAGATGGTGTCCTATTATTAGAAGTAAATGAATTCAGTTTATTTATTTTTTTAATCAAGCTGTGTTTAGATAGGCTTTGCTTTGAACTTTATTGCTACTCCTTGTTATTTTGAGAAAGATGGCTCTTCTTTTCTTTGTTGTGTGTCCTGTAAGTCAGAATATTCTACCTATCCATTCCATAGTAAAATGATTAGTGAACTTTTGTGTGCTAAAAGTCACTGGCTTTTCAGCCTCTGTATAAATGACTAATAAACATTTAATTTCAATTGTAATTCTAATTTCAAATTAACTTTATCTTTTTAAACAATTTTCTTGGCACTGTTCACATAAAATGTGAGAATGTTATAAATGACAAATATTTCTAACTGAGAAACATTGAATATTAGAAACTGCACTTGGTTATCTATGTGACTGAAATATAAGAGAATTTATTTGCTGTTACAGTCAAAATTTTAGAGAGTTCTTTCTTCATTGCATTTTACTTTATCCCAAGATACTATCATGTGTGTAACAAGAAGGTTGTAATTACATTGCATAAAAGAAGAAACTCATGTCTAAGGAAAATATAAGATTATCTAGGGCCTCACTGGCGTTTTCTTCCTGTGTGAGTTGTGAGGTCTGTTTTTCCCAGGCATTCTTTCCCTCTTGTTAGCTTCTCCATTGTACTTTTACTGACCTAACTCCATTTCAGCTGGTATCTGGTGATAGCACAAATAAGCAGTCTGATGAGCATGAGGCCTGCCAGTGGCTTTCGTGCCAGTTTTGTCATTCAGGACTGAACAACTTCCCACCCCCGTTTTTCTTCTCACCCACTTTGGACAAAGTAGATCAATCCAATAAACTCTTGAGAAGTGACTGTAGTGGGAAAACATTCAGAACAAACCATGTCCCTTTAAGACACATGCCTGCTATGTCGGTTTGATTTAGAAGAATAGACTCATTACAGCACCACCTATGACATAACAGAACCCGCTATCAATTGCGAGGCATTACAAAACATCCACTTAACATCCTGGTCTACTGCCTTGTACTGCCCAACTGTTGTTAGGTATTGCTGCTGGTATTGCTCTTCTCCTTACTTGGAAAATGAGGATAATAATACTTGTCTACCTCCAAGGGGGACATTGAGCCTAAATTAATTAATGTGTGTGAAGCATGTTCATATCTGTAGATAGTTTACACTTATATAGCACCTTCTATTATCATTAACATTTCAGGACAAAAACATTTTATGTGAATATTTTGCATAGTGGTAAGATGTTAAAGCAATTAACTAATTTGTTAGGTTATAATGTAATGGGCTAGATCCACAGCTGGTTTCAGTGGAGAGTGCTGATTTACATCAGCAGAGGGTTGTGTTCTGCTGAGTGTTTCATTATTATCATTTGTAGCAAAATAACTATCTACACTAATGGCTGGCCTTTACTCTCTCTTAGATAGGTGTATACCTGGAGTAACTCCACTGGCTTCAGAGATGTTACTCCAGATCTACACCTGTGTAAATGAAAACAGAATTTGACTGAGCTGAACCAAGCCCATCCAAGCGAGTTTCGGGTAATGTCACCTGTTATGAGTAAGTCAGTTGGGAAGACTATAAGACTGAAGAAAGAGATCTTCTAGTCACTGTGGATAGTTTCCTGAAACATCCACATTCACTCTGCAGCGGCAGTCAAAAAAGCTGACAGAATTTTAAGAATCATTTGGAAAGGGGTAGATAATAACACAGAAAATATCATAATGCCAGTATATATATCTATACTATGCTCACAACTTGAATGCTGCATGCAGTTCTGGTCACCTCATCTCAAAAAAAGATATATTAGGATTGGAAAATATATAGAGGAGGGCAATACGAATGATTAGGGGTATAGAACAACTTCCATATGAGGAGAGATTGAAAGACTGGAACTGTTCACGTTAGAAAAGAGACATCTAAGGGGGAATGTGAGAGTGGTCTATAAAATCATGAATGGTGTGAAGAAAGTGGATAGGGAAGTGTTATTTACCCCTTCACATAAGGGGTCACCCGATGAAATTAGTAGGCAGCAGGTTTAGAATAAACATAAGGACAGACTACTTCACACAACACGCAGTAAACCTGTGGAACTCATTGCCAGGGAATGTTGTGAAGGCCAAAAATATAACTGGGTTCAAAAAAGAATTAGATAATTTCATGGAGGATGGGTCCATCAATGGCTGTTAGCTAAGATGGTCAGTAACATAACCTCATCCTCCGGTGTCCCTAAACCTCCAACTGCTAGAAGCTGGGACTGGACAATAGGATGGATCTCTCAAAATTGTCCACTTCTGTTCTTTCCCTCTGAAGCATCTGGCAATGGCCACTGTCAGAGATAGGATATTGGGCTAGTTGGACTATTGGGCTGATTCAGTAGAGCCAGTCTTATTAAGATAGAAAAGTTATATTGTAGGAGTCTGATTTTGCTATGAGTCTTTGACATCAGTCAAGAAGTATTAGTATAGTTCTGATTAGGGCTGAACAACAATTCAGTGTGGGGTTTTTTTTTATAATGAAATTTACTATACTATTTCTTTCGGTTGCCCTGTAGCTACTAATTTGCCATTAATTTATCCTCTGTATAATTCTCTGCTACTGAAAAAACCTAATTGTCAGTGACCTTGCAAAATGTTTGTTCACTCACATTGTAGAGTTCAGTTTTTTCATTTGTTCTGGGTTCATTTAAAGTCCTGGTTCTTAGCTTCAGCATCCTTAATTGTCTGAGAGTAGACTAATTCAAGATCCACCTCTCTCCCTCAGTACTACTGTGCTCATCAGGCACATGAAAGCTTGCTAAACCCAGAACAAAAGACCTGGGAGCTAGGTGATCAAAGCATTTTTGGTGCTAGGCCCTAATCTATGGAACCCCTTACAGAAGGGTATCAGAATAAGCTCTATCTACCTTCAGAGCCTGGTGCAAAACACCTTCCTTCACCACAGCCTAGCTACATTAACAGAAGCTGAGATGATGATAGGAGTGGGATGAGGAAAGCACAATGGACCAAACCCTAGGAAGGTGACAAAGTGGAGTCCAGTTTTAGTCTTTAGTTATATACCTTTCGTATTTCACTGTATTTCATTGCCTAGATACTGCAGTGATTTGTGCTCTCTTGATATCTTAGGTAGGTACGTACAAAGTGGAAAGGATTAATAATGTTTTCTAAGAAAAAGGATGATGCCAGTTATGGTAAATTTAAATGGTGAATCTCAGTGAATCCCTTCATCCATAATCAAAATTATTTTTGAAAGAAATCATGCATGCCTGTACATAGGGTTTGAAAAAAGAAACAAACCCCAATTGCCTATGGTGAATATAATAGAAATCTTTCCTGGGTAAATGCCAACAACTTCTACAAAATCCATCCAATCTTTTTTTATTTTATTTTAAAGTTTTTATCCCTTAGGGTTGTGAAGAAAAGCTTGAATAGAATGTGAATCAATGCAGTGTTATCTTCCGGAATCTGCAGCTTTCACTGCTGCCATTTAGAACTCCCTGGGCAGCGCTGAAACTAGCAAGAATCTTAGGTCATTTACACACTATTTCTGCTTGGGATTGTTAGGGATAGTAGCAGAGCCAATCACTGTAACTATCCACTGTGGAGGAGGACCCAGAAAAAGATGCTAATTGAGGAAGTAGATTAGTGAAGACCCATTTCAACCAC